AATAGGGACAAGAATGCAGAGAAAGGGAAAATGCACTCATGTAAACAAAGGTAAAAACAGAGGAAATTGAATTCATTACATATGTGATCAAAATCCTTTAGCGAGTTTAATAAGAGAGTCTCTCATAGAAGGAAAACTGTCAAATGGAAGATGGCTTTCTAAAACAGAGGCTCACGCTATAGCAGATTTTGCTAGGGCTAACCTTCACAGCTTTAAATAAACAGTGAATACAAAGAACAACACAAGTGAAATAATCAGACACAAAAATATCCTGATAATTAAGTTAGCAGAGTGCTACAGATCAGATCAGAGATGTAACTCTTGTTTTTATCAATGGTTTACAAAGAACCAAATAATTTCACAGACTATAAGCAAAGGAGATGAAATTAGAAACCTTTTTAACTTGGTCTTGTTATATGAGACAATACTCAAAAGTACATTGGAATACCAGTTTTAACTGGCCAGTTGTTTTTGCAATTTTTTAGCAAGTGATTTTGTGATTCAGACAAAGATGTAAGACACAACAGTAAGAACAACATCAGAAGTGTTCTTCCTTTTTTTGGTTTTGCATTTTTCTTGTGTTTGGAGTAGTTCTGGAAATGGAATATTTTCCATTTCTACCCAGAGATGTGTGCTTTTCAAACAGCTTGGTTTTTACGTGCTAAGAACACAAATAGAGAAAATCTTGGCTTCTAGCCAGACATAACTTCAGCTGTATCGCATTTTCCAGGTTTGTTCTTTTCTCCTATTGCTTGCTTCTAGGATTTTTACTGCAGATTTTATCTATATGTTTTGGACTTGCTGTTTTTCATTTTGAATATTGAGTCACAATTTATGAGAATGGAAACAAACAATGACAATCTCAGAAATTGTTAAAATGCTCCCAAAAGAAGTAAAATATTGGTTTCAACTGAAAATACAAATATAGGCTAAGTGAGACTTGAGTGGCCAGTTCAAAATATAACTTCACATATGATTAATACACAAAGGCATTTTTAAAGTGCTCCTAACTACTCTGCAGACACCCTCAGACATTCCACGTGCTTCCCTATCCTTTCACATTCTCTGTTGGAATGTGTTTACGTGTACCACAGTCCTGGGCTTCAAAGCAGCTGGACAAGCTATTTTCTTACCTAAACACCTCTGAGTAATTCATATGCTGAAATGAAATATAGGAATACTTACTTACTTCTAAGTTTGTCTTTGCAAATACTACTCTAAAACAATTTTCATGCTTGAATATTAGGCTCTGTAAACATGACTGACAGAATTTCCATGCTTGTTAAAAAACTTGACCCGTTACAGCAATAGTAACACTCAACTGTGCTCCCTATTAGCTGCTCTCTCAAACTCCGTTCAGTGTTTATGGTATACAGCAAGTGGTATACCATATCAATAAAATGCAGTAAAAATTTACTCAATGTAAAAATGTATAAACAAAAATAAATAAATAAAAGAACATAAACCCCAAATATGAAATATGGGAAGGGAGAAATACATTACAGTGATACCGTCGAAGGAAAAATTACAAGTTTTAATTTTCCCTTCTGAAAAGTATCATTTGCCAGTATTTTTACTACATCTGTAGGTATTGCAGGCATATAAAATCTTTCTCTTTTTCACTGTCTAGATACAAATTATACATACAAAATGAACTGCACATATACATGAGCACACACAAACACATAATCTATGGTTTAACTCCAGTAAACCATGTAACAGACACTGAAGGCTTGTTCATCTTTTCTATAAACATGCTAACTAAAATGTCAAAACTGTACCCTTTGTAAGATCTCTCTGGTAAGTCTCTTGCATTTGTTCAAGTGCCATGGTACACCATCAAATCAGTCATGTTAGTCCAAAAGATGTATACTGTATGGGCAACATTCTCTTAGTAGCTTTATTACATACTGAAATAATACCATACTTATTACCAAACTAATTTACATAATCAGATTTTCCCTTTGACTGAAATAGAACTGCAGATGCATTTTGTTGTAAATATATGGATTGGGCATGGGAGTGTGAGAACAGCAGCAGAAGACTTGCTAAGACAGAATCGTGGTATCAGGTGGGGAAGATTCTCGGCTAAGTCAACAGTACTGGATTATTTTTTCAAAACTTACTGCAAAGTACAAAATCACTCTACAATTGGAGGCTCATTATTTCTATTCTATGAGCTAAAGTAACTACCTCTGCAGAAATGACTCCCCAAGCATGAAACCAAAAGTTTAAAAAGAACTCTTATTACCTTTACCAAGGTAATACTATCTCAAGACACAGAGAACATTTTAACAGCAGACACTTGTCTACCTTTCACTGATATATGTTTGCTGTCTGGTTTTCAGCTAGCATTCAACAAGTAAAAAGGGGTCACAAAACATATTTGTAAAAAATATAGAAAAGTAAAATGTAGAAAAGTAAAAAAATTCTCTTGGGCCTTAAATCTCACTACAAGAAAGACATTGAGGTGCTGGAGCGTGTCCAAAGAAGAACAACGAAGCTGGTGAGGGGTCTGGAGAACAAGTCTTATGAGGAGCGGCTGAGGGAACTGGGGTTGTTTAGCCTGGAGAAAAGGAGGCTGAGGGGAGACCTCATCGCTCTCTACAACTACCTGAAAGGAGGTTGTAGCGAGCTCTATAACTACCTGAAAGGAGGTTGTAGCGAGGTGGGTGTCGGTCTCTTCTCCCAAGTAACTAGCGATAGGACGAGAGGAAATGGCCTCAAGTTGTGCCAGGGGAGGTTTAGATTAGATACTAGGAAAAATTCAGGGTTATCAAGCATTGGAACATGCTGCCCAGGGAAGTGGCTGAGTCACTATCCCTGTAGGTATTTAAAAGTCGTGTAGATGTGGCACTTAGGGACATGGTTTAGTGGTGGACTTGGCAGTGTTAGGTTTACGGTTGGACCTGATGATCTTAAAGGTCTTTTCCAACCTAAATGATTCTATGATTCTAAAATTGTTTGCTATTTATTACTGAGAGCTTTCAAGATTAATTATCTTCACAGACACTCCATGCCTAGGAGGTCACAGAAAAAATTCCTGAAGGCAGTGGAGTATATAGCTATAGTTTTGCACAATGACCTTAAGTTAAATTCTCCATTTGATGTGTTGACTTTACAGCAAATTTGAGACTATACCTATTTGGTTAGGACAAGGCCATAAAGAACAAACAAGCTTTACATTCTTATTTTGGCAGAGGAGCTACCAGAAAGGTGTTCAGGGAAAGCATCTTTTCCATTGGATTAACCCACTGTCAATGACAGTATATAAGTTGATATTGACAGTAATGTTGATAACAGTAGCAGGAACTTTTGGTCATGCAGGTAGCAAAAAGTTCCACCTCCAATATTTTGCTGGAGAAAAACCCTGCCAACCCTTCTTTTATGTAGAGATGACTCTCAGGAGCTGACAGCCTTTTTGTGACTGTTTTCTTTTTTCTCAGACATGTAAATCTAGAACCTGAGCTCTGGATATAATAGTTTTATTTGAGAACTTCGCTACCTGTGTTTTAAAGTCTAAAAAGGTCCTTGTAATATAGAAAACACTCTAGAGATCCAGGACATTTAGATACCATTCCTGGAAAGAACAGTCTCATGAGTTTAGACTCTGTTTGCATGAAATCTCCACCTGAAATTGGAAGCATTTGTGGGCAGCAGGTTTTTGATATTTATTGCTATTTGGACGAGCAATGGAGTTTTGCCAGGCCATAGAAGCAAAAAAAATGCCTGGATGCAGTGAGAGTATCCAGAAGGGTTTGCTTTCCCTAAGATCACAACAACCGCTGCGGTTGCTGTGTGTCACATTCCCTGCACGAATACTTCAAATACAACTGCATTTCCTGGAGCCACCATTCAGGTTGGTTCACATATTGTAAAACCACGCAGTGGTTTGCCCATTTGTATACTTTCTGTCATGCTAGTGATGTTTTGGATTGAATCCTGCACTAGGGAAGACTGGTTTTGAAATGAGCTGTTCCCTAGCAGTAACCTTGCCTCCCTGCTTGGGAATTTTGTCATCAATCAATGTGAAACGTGGGTGCTGAAATTCACTATTTCCCTTTTTTTTTCTTTCTGATCTGGCCTCACTTTTAACTACTCCCAGGAGATACCCTTTTTCTCAAACAGGTGGAGGTGAACCTGAACAACTCCCTATCAAACCAAGTCTGTCGGTTGGTTTGATACCCAAAATGAGAAACAAGAAAGCCTGTTCAAAGTCTTTGGGGCTCAATAAATTGAGGAAATACGTTATGCTGAGAAACTCAAGCCATGGATGACAGGCACTGCACAGTCTTGCGAAGGACAAAAGACTGAACACTTCAATCACTTATCCTAGAGCTCTCAACAGGAGATGTGACTTCACTACCGCTGAGAAACAAGGAGCAATCACTGTCAGATGAACAGAAAGACTGATCACAGGGTACTCTGTGGCAATCAAAGTAGAGAGACCAATGAAGGAAAAAAAAAATTGATTCTTTTAAATTCTTTGACATATTTCTGGAAATGCTGAACAACATCCAGCAGTGGGGCCTTCCCCAAAAGACAGTTACTCGGAATCTAACGAAATTTTATACTCTAAATTAATTTTGGCATGGAAAATAAACTCCGAGAGAAACTTTCCCTCTCCCTTTATTGGATCAGAAAAAAGTACAGTTGCTGTAGAATTGTTTCCTCTTATGTGTGTTAAGTATGGTGCTTGTGATGATACTGCAGCAATAAATTCAATTTGCAGCAGTAATAGATGTTTCAACAAACATAAGGCAAAACAAGATAAACACCATTCAATAAAAATTTTATCAAATGATTCCTCTTAATATTAGAATAGACTTATTTATTTCTCTGATGAAAAGGGTAAAATATCTTCTCCAAGATGTACCCTGTCACAACACTGTGACACTTGCAATGAGTGACATTTTCTCTGGTATATCTTTTTTCCATGGATGCCATAAAGTGCACCGCATGAATATGAAGTGACATCTTTACTAACATGTGGTACTTACTTATCTCCCACAATTCCCAGGTTGATTGTTGGATAGCCATGTTCTTGGATTGTAGCTAGAAGAGTTGAACGGTTACTGTCCCGAATCTTTCCTGGCAAGAGGTCATCTTCAGGATTCAGTAGCTATAAAACCAGAAACACTCTCAGTCAGTCTCCTTGGAATACTGTGCCTTTACACAAGTGAGAATTTTCTTCTTCAGATTGGACAGGATATTCTTAGACACCTATCATAAAATAGACATGTAAAGTGATTTAGGGAATTTAAATTAGTAAGATATGTAATGTGCTTGTTTAGTCCAGTCCTCCATGTTGCTTACTTTGTTTCTATTGGTTCATGTCTGCAAAACCTTCTTTCTCCTTATGAGTACCTGGCTTCTAATCTCAAACATTAGAAACCAAAACACAAACTTTAAGTTTCCAAGTCATTGCTTCTATTTAAATCATTTTAAAGGAACCTCATTGATGTTGCTAACCAGATTTAAAGATATTAAAAGAAATTTTGAAGTTCATTGTCTACTTACCAGTAGAGATATTTTTTAAATACAACAATCTGTATTGGAATAATAGACAGAAGCTTAAAGCTTGGTTCTTATATCAATTACTGTTTTGGATGAAAAGCTTTCTCTCAAGACAGTATCATGGCAATTGCCTTACGTGTTACATATTTTGGAAGTTAAACTACAAAACATACATATGTAAACATATATTTTACATATATTAGGAATTCTTTTGTAGGACATAGAAGGACAACACAATATTGACAGGAGGAATATAATAATAATAAGAATGTATCTGTCAAAATTACAACAATAGTGTTAGGTAGTAAGGTAAGAATAACCAAAAGTGGAGCATGGCTAAATTTTGATGCTTTGGCTAGCAGCTCTATTTTTGTGAAGATTTCCATAGGATGTTTAAGAAACCCACTGTGCAGGTTCTTTTTTAACACATGATACAAAAGAGAGTGCCCACATCAGTAAAGGACCCTTTAATGACATGCAAGAACCGTCAGTCATACAGAAGATACTATTCAGAAAATCATCACCTGTAATCCTTGTAGCTCTTTGGGTTTGTTCTTTGGTTAGTGATGTTTCCTGCATGACGCACCCTGTCTATGTTATGAAATCTGGCAAGATTCTGTCCCAGCAAGGCTGGCCTCAGCCACCCACAGTACCCAGTAGTCATAGAGTAACCTGTCACTGGGGTTGTGGAAGTTGTAAGAACACCACCAGATGACAAAATTCAACATATTAAAAGTTTTCAAAATCTTTCAAAATCCAACATATTCAAGCTGTATGAGAATACAGCTATTGGGTTTATGTTTGTGTCTGGATTTCAGAAAGTTTGTCTCAAAGGATACTCAAAATTATAGGTCAAACTTCATGCTGTCTTTAAACTTCCAACTGACTTTATGTCAATCCACAAGTTCTTTTGCTTTTGCTCTTCCTATTCTCTCTCTGTCCCGCTCCGGGAGGGAATGAGCAAGCATAGTTGCTGGCCGGGATGAACCCACAACATATGTAAAATTAGTAAATTAAGTTAATCTTGAACCTGATTTTTCTGATGTAGTTAAGACAAAGCAATTAGAAAGCTGGTCTGGAGTTCTACTAACAGGAGATTGTCTGGATTTCAACATGTGCTACTATTAAAAAAAATTTTAAGGCACAATACTACAGCAAGGCATTTGGTAGTACTATTCAGTTTTCAAAGACAGGTTATCTGCCATTTGCACTATAGCTACAGAGGAGTGCTGCTCATAAGAAATTACTCTTCCAGTCATGATGGGCAGTATGAATTACAACTCTGACTACCCCACAGGTCCTCCCTTGCTGGCAGGAGGAAAGCAGCTGGCACATGGTTGGATACATTACCAACATTTTGGCAAAGACTGTGTGAGACTTGTGAAAGAGCCCTCGAGGGAGAAAACAAGCAGCTGATTACGGGTTGATCACTCACAGAAATACCTCATGTCAGCATGAGTTGCAGCTCAAAAAGTGAGTCTACTTGGGAATAGGGTGAAAGTCACTATCCAAAACACTGTCCCGAAGATGATATAGTAATTCAGACCTTGATTCTAAAGATACTTTTCTTACCTCATTCCCTGTTGACATGACTGCAACCACTGGAAACTTGTTAACTTCTACTTCAGTTACTCCAACAGTTGCTAAGAGACCAATCTCAGATGGACCCATGTGGGTTCCTTTAGCCAGCACACATTCACCTCTTTTAATGTCATGTCCTATAGGTCTGAAAATCATAGCACAGAAAAAAAAGAAAGAAAAACAGAATCAGATTTAAAGTATCTTTCCTTGATTAGTCCTGCTCCAGGTAAGGAGTGTCCAGGGATGTTCATTAGTCAGATTGTCAAAATGTCAGTACTACTTATGGTTAAAAAATGACCATAAAAATCACAGTCCCTTCTATTCCTTACAGAGATTATTTTACTGTTTATAAAGTAGGCTGTTTACAGACCTGATATCTTGGCCTGGTCGAGCCTGCACCAGGATTCGAACCTCTAGTTCTTCAGTGCCCTACAAAAACAAGGAGATCAAATATGGTCAGCTGGGTTATTCAAAGAAGATTAATCAGCTTTAATTTCTCAGAAGTCTACACAGCTTACATTACTCATTACACTGAGACCTTATGGTTTAAGCATCATCATTGTTCCCCTGATCTGTGTGTCAAGATAGTGAAACAATGTGTGCTAAAACTGAACAGCTTTATAAGAAATTCTCTCTGATGAGCTCACCAGGGAAGGACCAGCACTGAATACATAGTTTTGCCTTCCTTTTTTTATGATCCCTGTGTTTATATATCTTCCCTATGTTATGTCCTATGTTTGTCTGTTGGTCTGGTATACTGAGTGGATTCTTTCTACTCCTCTCAGCCAACTTGATCTGCTCGAACATTTTCAAAGATGGCATTTCAAAAAGACCATTAGTCAGAGAGGCAATATGCCACTACATCCGCAGAAAGGTGGGAATAAGCTATATGCTCTACCTGTTCAGGATTTTCATGTAGATTCCTGTAGTGGAAACTCCTACTTGAGAGCCTTGTACAAATCAGAAAGAGGCTTATTCATCATGTGTATTTACTGTGAAGAAGAGACAGCGGCCTGAAAAGTTTGATGCCTACTTTAGTATTTGTGTTGACCTCTTCAGAATTTCAATGGTTTGGTGATTCATTCAATGCCAATAAATGGCATGTGACTTACATTGTTAATATTTAATCTATAAGATCTGCAAGTGGGTTGGTGATATATACACTCAGCTTTGAGATACTGCCAGCTTGTCAGGAGCACTAAATCTACGCTTACTTAGACTGGAACAGATTTAGTTTTTACATTATCATGTAGTGCTTCATACTTTACGTACCTCAAAGTTATAAATCAGACACTAATACGACAAGACAAACAAGGCACGTCATTGTCATTTGGAAGTTTTACAGGAACGATAGTGTTGTATAGGACACTGGGACTTGTCTCTTTTCTTAAAGGTGATATGGACTGCATTTTCTGAGTTCAAACTAAGTGCTTTAAACTAAAGGCCCCAAAGTTAAAGTTAACGAACATGTTGTTACAGACTGTGATTCTGTTTACCTATTGTGAAAATGGATAAATTTAAACCCCTGAAAACCAGGAAATGACTAACAAAAACATCAACCCTGAAAAAAATGATTTCTTACTTTACCACAGTATTTTCAAAATATGCTTTTAATGCAAATTCTGTTTCTTTTATACCTGCTCCTCTTGTATAAGAGAAGAGACTATTTTTGGCTGCTAGTGTCCAAAATGGCTGTGCTGGTGCCCAGGATGTCCTTTTATCTCCGTTATCCCCATCTGAAGCTGTAAAAGACACTTTAGGCTTGTGATGAAAATCTGGGGCAACAGTTAGTCTAAGAATTATTTTATTTTTATGGCACTCTGGGGATGGTTGGCCAGTCATGAAGATTTGAATTTTCCATATCTTTGGTAACACTTAAAGATAGCTAGGAAGTTTCTAGGGAATCAAGAGGAGTGCCAATGATACATTTGAGTAATAGAAAAGGTCCTATTTAGGACTCCTGGATCAGGGGAAACAAGAAAAAAAAGGCTTTTGAGGAATTTAGTAATTCCCACACTGTGGAAAGTGTGACTGTGGACAACATGGTGATGTGCAGAGACTTTTATTTATGGAACTGATGGATATCCCAGAATGCTTTAGGAATACAAGACAATTCAAGGTGGCTAGAGGTAGGGCTTGCAGGAAGGTATGGCATTATGTTGAGAACATTTTCCTTTTGGTGTGTATCAGGCAGCATTCTTCTTGCTGTGTATTAATATATTTTGAACTATGTCCGAGTGGTTTACTCTGATGGTTGTTAACAGCCAGCATCCATACTGATATACTGATGCTCAGTCTTGATGTAGGATCTAACTCTTGTTTTGCTTGATCACATTGGCCTCCTTTTTCCTACAAGGTGACATAAAAACTCAAAATGAAAAGGGTGTAGACATGTTTTTGCAAGGATCTTTCTCAATGATTGTGCATTTGGCAAGCTGATGAGAATTTTTCTTCCTGCTGGACGGATGTAATTCCCTTCAGGCCTGTGACTTTTACAGTCATTTGGGGAATGCTTGCTATGGTATTTAAGTACTGCTACCACAACCAGAGGTCAAGGAACTCCTTTTAAGTGTACTCTCTGTTTTTTCAGAAGAACATCTTTCAGATAGTAGAGATTTCATTTCAGTTAAATCCCAGCCCTGAAGGAGTTCTTAACACTAAAAAGAAAAATATTATTGAAATACGTAGCCACCCAGGCATGAAGAAGGAGAGAAAAATAACATCTTAATTAAACTATGCTAATTATTTATGTACAGGATTAGCAGAGTGGCATATTCAAGGACAAGTAGAAACTAGAGTTCTACCTCACACTTATAGGCAGGAAAAGGAAGCTAAAGGTGGCTGATGATTCGCTAAAAATTCGCTAAAAAATTCAGAGTTTAAGCACATAGCCAAATAATCTGTTCTCGCTGCAGAGGAGAACATGCACAGAAGAAGTGGAATCCAGGAAGACAGTCATCCAAAGAAGAAGTAGAAAATAACAGGTTATCATGTATGTTGCTCTGCAATGGGATAGTCCTCTCAGGATGAGGTGGGCAATGGCCACAGAAAACTTGCTCAGTAAGGCTAATGGAATGATTAACAAGCAGTGAAGGCAATGGTGTATTTTATGGGAAGACATAATCTACACATACACATCTGTAACTTCAAAGCAGGACTGACTCAATAAATTCTCTGTTAGGAAGAAGGCCAGCCTAGACAGCTTGCTGACTTCATCAGATGTAAAAATCTATGCATTTACAGTAATAAGGCATGAGAAAGGATCATGAGAGTATGTTTCAGTTTTTGCTGTCTTCATCAGCTTTGAACATGAGAATTCATCTGCTTACACCCTAGCTGCAATCGCAATGCTAGCACAGAGCTATGGCGAAGTGGAACAGCTTGTCAGAACAGCAGCAGAGGAGCAAAGGCTGATTTGAGCAGAGAACCGTGCACACACTTCATTCCAAAACTGAACTTGGAAGTTGTGTCAGTAAGTGACATACCTTCTTGCCCTAAAATCTGTCAGATGATGGCAAACATGACGATGGTGTCCTGAAATCACAGCTGGGTAAGTGAAGGTAATGATTCAGAAGGAATTCTCTGAACACAAAGGAAGTCTAAGATGGACTGTTTGGGATACAGTTGTCTACAGACAGCTCCTGTGCTTCATCAAAAAACACATTTTACTCTGTTAAGACAACTGTGTGTACAGAATTAGTACTACAGTACTCATATTTTTTCTGTGGTATTTTGCAGCATCTGTAAGGTACAGCGTTAATATGATTTATAGGTATGCTGGAAAAGCTGTTCAAATTAAACAGAGTTAAGACTATGTTCTGGGGGAATATGCACCTTGTCCATTTCCTGGTTTTCAGAGGTCTTAAATTCAGTAATTTTCTCATTCTAAAGGAGCACAGAGGTCTATTGGAGAAAGAGAGGGAGAATCCACATATTGCAAGATATGTGGACAAGACATTCTCCAAAATCCACCAAATTCACCTTTGCTGAAATGAGACCAACTCTGATAATACAGAACCATCTTCATAGCATAGTTCAAAATAATCCAAGTCATCCCATGGATTTTGCAGCACTTAAAACAGTTCAGTTTCCCACAGAAAATCATATTCAGCTTTACATCAGCGGTAATGCTGCACTGCAATATTTCAATGTATTATTCTGGGATCAATATGTATTTTAAGAAAACTTTTCTCCTTCTTACTGGGTGAGTTTAGGAGAACTTTTAAAGTCCTAATCTTGCTGAGTTTCAGGATGATCCTGAAATATAAAGAAGATTGCTCTACTGCTACATGTGAACTCAGTAGAAAAGAAGGAAATATAATGTCTGATTGCCACTACTTTGTATTTTAAAATGTGAATACACTAGGCACTCAAATTGGACTGTAGTTATGGATCTCCAGGAGGCATTTGCCTTTCACTCAAATCATGCTCCCAAATACTTTGGTGTCAGCATTCAACAACTGTGATGAAAAATCAATGTCAGGACAGGTAGGTCTGTGGTACTGTTATCACAGCCTGAAAAAGTGAGTAGAATTGCCACTAGGAACTGATGTGAAAATCCTCAAACTTCTGAGATTAACTGAAGAACTTTTCTGTAGGACTATCTTTCATATTTACAGGATTGTATCATGAGCGATTTTCTGCTGCACACAAAAAAAGAGTTTTAACTTGTGACTCACATCATCCGATTCCCTGATGAGCTCTGTATCTTCCACTTGCACCACTGCATCAGCACCACATGGAATTGGAGCACCAGTTGTAACACGCATTACCTGACCCGGCATCACAGTCTGAGTTGGCTGAAAAATAAACAAACAAAAATTAATTTACTTTTGAAAAGAAAAATCTCAAACCATTTGAACTTTATGGAAGTAATCTGAAAGACTAGAATTCTTATTTGTGGCATGACTCGATATACTGCTGGTGATATCAACAGGTACAAACTCCAATGTATTTAAAGATCATTGGGTCATTGCTTCAGATCTGGCTTTTTTTATATGGTCACATACTAGTTGGCTTCAGATTTTTCCCCTTAGATTTCTATCACAAGAATAACTTTCAGAAGAAGCAATATACGGATACTCTGGTTGGCTCAGAAAAATAACTGGCTGAGAAATATAAGTTAGATGGTGACCTTCTAGAAACTTACATGAGCAAAAAATCGAGTAGTTCTTTGTACATAAATATTTTTGCAGAGTACTCTGGTCCCCAGGGTTGAAATTTGCTTTGGTTTGGTTGGGTTTTTGTTCTGTTTTGTTTTACCAGCATACTATATATGGAAAACCAGCAGCTTGTAAGTAATGTAACCAGCTGCTTCATTTTTAAGCAGATTTCCTCATACTGAGAGACAGCTCAACACTAGTTCACATAGAATATCTATCTTTGTGAGGGGCAGTTTAGCAAAGCCTAAAATTGATAATATTCTACAATTATGTAAAGTCACAGTACATTACAAAGTTTCAGCAGAAGCAATACAAAGAACAGAAAAATATCAGAACAACATGATAAAACAAATGACATGGTTTTAATAAAATTTCTCACCAGGCAGCCTATTTTAATACACATTTTTCAAAGTCCAGAGTAAAATTGCAATTTGACCATAACCACTTAAGAAATAAATAACTAAAAGAAAAATCTTTCTAAAAAAATGCAACTAAAAGAAGCTGGTATGATGATTGAGATGTCATTGCTGGAATATGAGTGCTTGCTCCCTGCAGCACTTTAGTAAGCCCAACTTATTTAGGCTTTGCTGTTATTAGTGAACATGTGCTACACACAGATCTACACAGCTGTGATCAGACCAACATATTCTGTACGTGTCACACGCATAATTCATGTGCAGATTGACTCTATATTCCATATGCAGCATTGGAATATGTCCAGGACTTCTCAGACTGTGATTAGCATGTATTTGATATCCACCCACAGACCTGCAAGCAGTACTGCCCGAGCACTATTACCTGCTGACGCCCAACAGTCATTTACTCCATGACTTCTGACAGGAGGCTGTTAGACGTCTATCTGCAAATTCTAGACCGGCGGCCAACGTTTCAGCTGTGCAAAGCTCTGTTTGCCTTGCCCATTCTTCTACTCCATTTCAGCACTGTCATAACCTCTGAAATGTGAGTATTACTTTGAAATGTGTGTATTTCAAAGATTGCTCATTGGGACAGAAGCCCTAGGGAGAGGCTGGAAAGGGTTTGTACCTGGTTTACCACAGTATCACAGTGACCTATGTATCCCAAGAAACAACTGAGCCTGGAATTGATTGAATCCTGACCCTTTTCTAAGGGTAACGGAAATCTAACATCCTTTGAGAAGAACATAAATAAAATGCTAAAACAAACTAAAAAAAAGATCACACTTGCCAGATGTCATGGTTAGTGTGTTTTTAGGGCAAGATTCATGTTATCCTAAAGTAGGTATCTAAAACAGATGACATAAAAATAATACTTCTTTTTTAAAATGGTATTTATTTCTCACCACTGACTATGCAAGGAACTGTGAATGAATAGCTGAGATGCTGCCATTTATACAGAAGATGCTTAAAAGTGAAAATAATCTTGTCTAGTGTGTTAGTCTGATTTTTATGAAAACAAGTATTACAAAAGGCAAAGCTTATGCCTTGGATTATGGGAGCTCTTTTGCATATTGTTGTAGATATAGTCTATAGGCACATGACAAATAGGTAATACTGTTTTGAACTTTATTTATGTCTATGTATTTATTTATGTTTATTTACGTATTTATGTCATTAGTGACAATTTTTAGAGGAAAAATGTATTGCATAAAAAAATTCTCCCATTTAAAATGTGTTTTTTGGGCCCCAAGAACCACAAAGAATACAAAATGTCTAGGACTCTGCCAGGAATCAGTGCCTACGGTGATAAAATACGCTGTAACTATCCATGCTTTTGGAGCTTATTACTAGATAAGTTAATTTTTTGAGGTGTAATGATGTGAAACATTTAAACAAATTCACGATACAGTAACAATTGCTTTTAGAATTGGTTGCTCATATATTTAATTTCCTTTTTGTCCTTTGAGAATTTGATCAGATTAACTTTATGAACACAAGTCAACCATCAGATTTGTGTGTGAATCTCCAGGGCTGTGTTCTTCTGTGCTAGAGACTATGAAGATAAAGAAATGATTCCTTCTCAGAAAGCATATTAATGTACAACAATTTCACAGAAGCTCTTTTAAAGGCCTTTGAGATCTCACACTTACCTGGAATAGGGCAGTACTGGCTTCTGTCCTTTGCCTTCATCACTGACAATCTATTTAATGTTAGTCACTGAATAAAAACCAAAAATAATCCATCGAGCACAGCCCCCATCTCAGGCATTTCCTCTTGCACATGATTACACCTCTCCTGCATGATTTACAATGACCCATGCTCCTTTCTGTAAAAAGGCCCAAGTTAATGGAAAGGTGAAAAACGTCTGTTTTCCCTCCTATATTATAGCTGGTTAGTCACAGTGCCTCTTACAAACATCTTTAGAAAGTCTTCCAGGAAATGCTAAGCTCCAGCTATGCAAGTCTATAGGAAGAAAATCATTGCTCCCCATGGTAGAGTTTTTCACACAGAGGCCATGTGGATGGCTCATAACGAGTACTCTCAATGTGCCCTAGCCTCCCCAAAGCAGGATAGTGTCTGAAAGTTTTCCTCAATACAAAATAAATAATGGTTGTTAACATAAACACGACCATCTGGAAATGGAATCAGAAAATAATACACAATTTACAAATTGATACAGAAATGTCCAACTTGGCTATATGGCCTCTCTGCAATTCTCGGTCCCATTTTCTTCCTCGCTGCGTAGCTTTTACATAACCTTTTTCCCTACAGGAGAAGCCAAATCTAAACCTATTTTGAACTCCCTGCTGTGAATCATTCTGTTAATTGGTCTGTAACATGAAAAGCAGAATGTTGCTGCTGAGAGTGACTGAAGGGTGAAATGAGACTGAGGAGTCTTCCAAGGTTATAAATAATTTATTGGGAAGGAGATGAACCTGAAGATGTGTTGGCCCAAGAAAAAAACTTTGACCAATTATTCAGAGGTAAACGGCCTCATTTTTTTAACTTGCCACTGGTATTTCCAGAATTATTCTCTCTCTGCGTGCCTCCTCCCACCCAATTTTTGTTCCTTGCCAGAGAGGTTTCCCATTCCCATTAATGTGGGAGGACAGACTGTCCCTGCAGAGAGACATTTGTGAGCTCTTGAATTTTGTAGGAAGGAAGCAAGCTCCCATTTGCCCTTTTATCCTTTCCTGCCGAACTCATTAGGACACTGAAACCCTTTAGACCTGTGGGCAGTCCTCCCCATTAGACACAGCTTCAACAGTACTGTTTTTAAGCACCACTGTGCTGTTATATTTTTTAACTAGCAAAATGATAATATTGATGACAGGTGAATAATGATAGGAATGGTAATTCAGCAGGTTGCTCTGCTAGTTCTTGCTATTTTATAGTGACCATAAAAAGGGTTGTAGAAATAGTTGTCAGTCTTTTGGATTCTGGACTAATGCTTGAAAATGCAGACAGTAGGGCTAAAAATCCAAGGCAGGTGAAATTCATTAGTTTACTTTTTTTAGTGTTTAAAGTAATTTTACATGTTTTGTATAACAGATTCATTAATCTAAGTTCACATGAATATCAGTATTGAGAAGATGTCTGTTATACCAAAGTATAATTCATGATGATGGATGGGAACTACAACAAAAATTATTTTCATAGTTCTCTGTATCTATCATGATTAGCCAAATTAAATGTCTATTATACATTCAGAGGCAGTTCAACTCCATTTAAAAAAAAGGAACAATCCTGCAACTGGTAATACTTCTAAAACCTGAAACAACTTTTGTAATGCATCTATTTTATTCGAGACTCTTTTGTTTAGCAGTCAAAATGGCCACCCTGTAAAATCCTCATTAAAACTGATTAATCCTTTGTTTTGCCCGTTACTTATTCCATTTCTGCATAATTTCACATACAATACACAGAATTATAAACTGGTACTTGAAATAGCTGGAGAAACATTTTGGATTAACCCATGCTCTCCTGAAAAGAAGGTAGCAGGTACAATTAAATTGACAGAATAAAAGAAGTGGTTGTACGCAACTGATTTTTTTCCTATCACCCCAGTATTAGTACAGGAACTTTATCAAATGTACTCTTGGGTTTGAGAACAAATCCCAAATAGTGTCCATTCATGAATATTTATACAGCACAGCAGGTCACGAATGGGTGCTGCCCCGACTTGCTCTTAAGCTCAATCCATGTATCTGCTAAGGTGCACAAACGCTCTTTTGATTTAACAAACAGAAAAGGAGCAATACTGCAAACTAGGCTGCTGCCAGCCTTCCCCAAGATTGTTCTGATCATTACCTACCTTTAAAGGCTTCATACAAAATTCTTACACTTTGTTTTGCAGATATCAGTGTGAAATATGCAAGCAGCTTGTGGAAACAGTTATTGGGCTGATGTCCCTTTTAAAATCTGTCAGCAAGAAGGGGTTAAATCTTGCTTTTCTCTGTTTATGAATTGTAATGCCGCTAGAAACCTTATGTCCTCTAACATTGTACTAGGGCAGAACATTAGTGTATGAACTCCTATCGGACATGTCAGCACAATGCTCTGAAGTATTTTGGGATATCCTTGTTAGTTCCTTATGTAACCGTACGACCTCACTTTCTGAAATCATGTCCCAAGGCACATAGCAGGAGGTACAGCTGTGTCCTACTTCATGCCACCTCCAAGAATATTGAGTTTTGGAGCACTAGCAAGGCTTGTAAAAATACAAAGCGATATCTTACAAAAGAAAAATACATTAAAAAAAAAAAAAGAGAAAAAAATTGTGCTCACCTGCTCACCAGCCTGGGATTCCCCTATGATGAATCGATCTCCAGGGCCATCAGCAGCTGTTAAGATGGACAATACAAGTGATAAAGGCTGAACCAAAACAAATGATGGCATTAGAAATTAAGAAGAGGAGAACGAAAGCATGATCTAAGATTCAGTTCTTCAGTGTCAGCATGACAAAGGTTATAGAAGTTTTGCAAACATTTCACATTTTAAATCCTTTTAAGCTGTGTTTATTATTCTGAAAATTACAGGTTCTATAGTACTTTTAACTGAAAGTTTCTGGGCAATATGGGATCAAGTAAAAGGAGGTTAGGAGGAATTACATTAATAACAAAGATTTAAGAGTGTTCATGAGATTATTTTTATAAAAATGTCCACCGCGAGCAAATCTTTTTCCATGTGAAACTAACACAGGGGAATCACATATTTTGTAAGTGTATTGCGTATCTTTTTTCTAGACAACGATGGAATATTGACATTTCTAGATTCTACCTCTGCCTTTGGAGGAAAACGTGGACAAGGGAAGTGGTTACAGACTGTGTAGAAAACCATACAGGTTTGGCATTTTCTGAAGAGCACTAGGGCTAAGATAATGCAACTTGGACTGCTACATTAGAAGTCTGGGTTCTGTTCCTTTTTGTAATTTTAGGAGGTAGCACTGAACTAGTTACCTTATACCTTTCACTGAAGCCATTCTGAAAATTGAAAGTCAGAGATCGTTGATTTAATAAACTGAAAGTCTCCAGGACTTCTAATTTAGCAAAATGTGTATTTTTACAGGGACAACAAAGGCACCCTTACTAACGAAGTTTAAGCTTCTGCCTGCCTCAAAGGTTTTCAACAAGTTGCATTAGTGGTATTACAGGCTCTACTATGGTGTAAAGCATGTATGGAGCACAAGCAACTCTGCCTGCCCAAGCACAGCAGGCATGCTGTCAAGAGTGTTCAGGCAAACTGGGTTCGTACGCTCACATTTAAATATGTCTTTTTATTAATTTTAAATCTGTAACTGTCAAAAGCTGATTTCCCAGAGATGAAGTCTAATCAGTGACAATCTTTAACTTAATACTTTCTTTTTTATTTCAAAAGCCCTGAATATACATACAGCTAGATAACCTTATCATATTGAGAAGAACTGCTTTCAGGAAGGATGCCCATTCAGTCTGTACAATGATTTATTACATTTGTACTCATATATCAGCTGCAACTCTGCAGATGATGATCTATGGTATTTAGTCATGTTTGAAGACTAATGATCAACTTAACTTTAAAAGCCTATCAAACAGCCTAATCTATGAGCTTTAGAACAAACTCTAAAATAAGAAAGTGGAAAAGGACTTTTCAACTACTTGTCTTTGAATAATGCATATAATACTACTGAATACAGTTGTCACACCTTCACTGAAAAAAATGCACTGGGATGATCCAGCAAAAGAAGAGACAAAAATTCCCTAATAGCTAAATTATTTTAAACCTGATAAAATGCTACTGAATTAGATTTCATTCCCCCATTAGTAATGATACGGAGACAAAGTTTATAGGTGATGTACAACTGATAAAGCTTGAAAAAAGCGGACAAGGTTTTGGGGCAGACAGGTTTATGTGACTGAAAGCTAATCCTTTATTTTTTTTGTAAAAAATATCCGTTAATGTAGTCAATATTATTTCTGCCTACAAACCTTGTTTCTCATGTTCTGAGATAACAGGTCTACAAGAAGAATAGAATAGAATAGAATAGAATAGAATAGAATAGAATAGAATAGAATAGAATAGAATAGAATAGAATTGTCCAAATGCCTCTTAAACACTGACAGGCTTGGGGCATCGACCACCTCTCTAGGAAGCCTGTTCCAGTCCTTGACCACCCTCTCAGTAGAGAAATGCTTCCTAATGTCCAGTCTAAACCTCCCCTGGCGCAGCTTTGAACCATTCCCACACGTCCTATCACTGGATACCCAGGAGAAGAGCTCAGCGCCTCCCTCTCCACTTCCCCTCCCCAGGAAGCTGTAGAGAGCAGTGAGGTTGCCTCTCAGCCTCCTTTTCTCCAAGCTAGACAAACCCGAAGTCCTTAGCTGCTCCTCACAAGACATTCCTTCCAGCCCTTTCACCAGCTTTGTTGCCCTCCTCTTGACACATTCAAGTACCTTACTGTTACTCTATTTGAATGCACCACCAAAATTAGGGTCTTGTGTGTTGGTTCTGACAGAAGTTGTTGAAGACAGCGTTCATGATCATTCCGCTCATTCTGCGTGTTTACTGAGATTGTACTTGTACTTTCCCTTACCTTGTAGCAATCAAGTTGCAAGACAGCATTTGCTTGATCCCAAGGCCCTTGTCAGTCAGCATTCTACTCAGAGCTCCCCCTCTCAGCTTTTCTCAGCGTTATATTACCTGTATTTCTCTGGCTACATCTGCACTCCCTTGCCACTATTACTGGTCATTTTGGTCTGCCTGTCTCTCACACACATAGATGACAGACAGCTGCAGTCAAACCCATCTTGTAGACCTGGAATTTTATTTTTATATCAAATCCATGGGGAAGCTATTGGACTACATCCATTGCCTGGATTTGCAGACAGTCTATTTCATGGACAGTTGCGTTCCATTGTTTCAGCTGCCAGTAACAAAAAAGGTATTTTAATGTCCCTAGAAGAAAGTTGGCTATTGTGTCCAAATTTCAACATGGTGTTACGATGATGCAACCCCTACCACAATGAAATCACTACTAGTATAACGTTCAATCATATATATTTTAATTTCCTCCATAGATATCTGAGGTGAGCATCATCAGTCTTACTTTACAAAGGGAAAAACTGATGCACAGAGAAGCAACTTGCTCAAAATCATGCAGCACCTAGTGGCAAAGCAGAAGATGGATTCGGGTCTCCTGGGAAACCACTCACTTCTTGCTCCGTAAAGTCACACTACTCATTTTATTTTTATACAGCAACTGCAATATTTTCAAAGTAAAAATGAGCTTTTCTTTTGAGGTGCCTCTGTAAGAGTACATTCTGATATGTATTTTTGAAAATTCTCTAATGCAATGATAAAATAATTCACAAATAGGAAGCTGGATCTGTGACAGTTCAAAAAGCAACAGATATGTAAGAAATTCCTGATTAAATCAACAACAGAGGAATAGAAGAATCTGTCATTCAGAAACAGATGTTCTGTTACTCTCCTGAATTTCCAAGAAACTCACTAGCAACTCAGGTGCATGTCTATGAGCACACATGGATGTACATTTGCTCATGTACATATGTATCCACTTAAAAGATCTGAATTCAACTTTATGGTCTTCCTTCGAGACAGCTGCATTCTACGTAACTGTGACTTCAGCAATGATCTGAATCAAATCTCAACCAAAATAACCATTGCCGGATCCAAAACAATTGAACTAACATTATAAAGTGGTTTTACAGACACAATACTGCATGTCTACAAAGTGAGTGTTTACCTCTGACAGCGTAGCCGTCTTTTACTGATGCTGGAAATGGTGGTAGATTATCTTTTGCATATACATCTTGAGCAAGGACTCGGCCCATTCCATCTAGAAAAGAGAAAAGAGAAAAGACCGTGCTCCATGTCATTACAGCTAGTAAAAGGGAAAAGAAGTGAACAGCAGTGTGCTCTGATGGATGAAATGTATGTGTATGTGACATGAACAGAGCTCTCAGGTTTTTGATTTCTGCCTCTACATAAATGAAAAAAGACGAGTCTGAAAGTACTGATGAAAGATTTGTTCAGTCAGTCTGTGTTCCTGGTTATGATGAAATTGTTGACAGTATATCTGAATGCCAAGTATCCAAACCCAGAGGTAATAGCTCTGATAGAGGATCAGACAGAAAAAAACAAGTATTTGTTTCTTCAGGACAACTTTTTCTCCTGAAATCTCTTAAAAACACACACTTTCTTGTATTTCAATTTGTTAAAAAAAGTTCTTTTTTTAAAAGCTTTTAAAATAACATTTCAAAAGTAAATCCCATGTGCAAAAGGTGAGAAGTGATGGATTGTGCCCAGAGGACTCAACATTAACAGTAATGATGGACAAGTTTCCATAAAATTGACAAAGAAGTTTTGCAATAGATTAGCTTTGCCTAATTGCTGAGAGCGTTTCTGCTTAATGGAGGGTGAATGCACATAAGTGTCAGGATCATTTATGTAAATTTACGCTGTTATAGTTCTAAATATTTTAATAGCTGTTTCAAACATACTCTTTCCCTTCACTTAGCAACTATGACTGATGAGTTGTAATTTGGCTCTGCCTCCCTGTAGAGACTGATATGAATTACTTCATCCTCAGTCAAGTGTGCACTACTTGCTTGCTTTTATGGCGCCAGCAAGAGTTTTTTTTAGTATGATGTGGAACAGAGTGGAAAATATGTATCTTATCCCTTCATACAGTGGGAGAGTGAGAAAGAAGATTTATTATATGTGTGATTAGATGGACTAGGAAGGGGCACATGGGTCAGAACTACTGAGATTGGCTTGATTCCAGTATGTCTAAGTAGAAGGGAAGCTCATCTCATAATAGAGGCCATCGCTCTTAGGAGTGTGTTGTGGCACAAGAAGGCAATATCCAGCTGAAAGTATGAAGGAATGAGAGGATGCATGAATACTTCTACCTGGAGAATTTGTGTGGATATGTACTTTACAGATTATGATCTTTCAGGCACGCCAAAAAAGAGAGACATACATAAAGCGTGTTTCTTGTTTTACAGATAGGGAAATCGATGTGGTTCTGGATTTGCTGGCAAGGCAGAAGACCTAACATTGCACACTAAATGGATAGGTTTTGTTAAAAAGTGCACCTACTTGATTTGTAAATGTTCAGCTCCAGTGAAGTGGTATTATAATGGAGATTATATTTTACTTATTAACACAAAGGGATTTAGTTAGTAATTAATTATAAATATAATAACTATAACATCATTGTGCTCACATCCATATGTATCAACTTGTAGCCTGAGGCGAATATTTATGTTGCATTTTTGAAATAGGTGTTGCCATGAAAATGCTGATAAAACCTTTTAAAGCAACTAGAAAAGCACCTTTGTGATGGCTATTAATACGTCTGTGCATCACTGCGTATCACTCTCTGTGATACACAATATAGAAGTAAGTAGAAAGCTCACAAGAGCTTGTACACTTGCACTGAAAAAAAAAATGCAGACATAGACATTTAAATTATAGCATAGAAAAGGCAGCTATCAAAGGCCTAGTAAAAACACCCTCTGTTCATAGACGCACGAAAGCTCATACAAAAGTGATGCTTCTAATTTTAGCAGGTATGTTGTGTCTTTTTACTTCTTGTCTGCATGCAAAATCACACCAATTAGAGCAAAGTTGAACAGTATGTTCCTGGCATTCTGCCATGCAATATTTGAAGGGAATAAATGGCCAGCCAATAGCGGGAATGAATTTCATTAAGGGGAGAAAAATGTAAGAATTATTTGCTGAAGCCTTAGGCATTTAAAATGAAGCAAGTCAGCAACTAAAGGACAACCTGAAGTACCTCTGTACTCTCCTTTATTTGAGCAATTATTTTAGAAATACACTGTTTGACCTTATTTTGATTAATTGTAATTCAAAAAAGATGTTATATTGTAATGTCATCAAACTGTCCCTTGTGATGCCCATAGCTTTCCGATTCTAACACAAAATGGAGAACTACATTAAACTCACTTTCAAAATTTGGGTATTTTCTAAAGCTTAGCTGGTGAAACTGGTGCTGTTCTGTGAAGAATTTTGATTTCTCAGTGTATCGGTACTGGGATAAAGCAGTGAGACAGGTATTGTACTAAAGGTGATGGATTTGCTCCCATTTTGTAAAGATTGCCCTGGTAGCACCTCAGTGTGATATGAAAAGGCAGTTCTATCAAAATAATCAGCTAGTTCAAAATGAATAAGCACTGGAAAAAAATGCCCAAACTCTACAGAAGTTACAGGGCTCCTGGGCCAGATCAGAAAAGCTGCTCCGTTCTGAGGTTTAAGCCCGTGAAGTGTGGATTGCCTCTGCTTTGTACTTTTAGTATCAATTAAACTTCTGCCTCTTCTTAGTTTCAGAAGAATAACCATTATCTTTCTGTCTAAAAACTTAACGTTATGTACCCATGGAGCAATGTTCAGGTAGCTGCATTTAGCTGGAATAAAAGGCTAACTGGGGGCTTCATACCAGATATTGATGATGGCAGGTGGGAAATATGCTTCAGATGCCTTTGGTTTATGGCACTTCTGTAAAATGTTTTAAGACTGTCCATTTTTTTTTTTTAATATGGAAGAGGCTAAATGATCTATACAGGCACTGAGCAATACAGTTACCAATGTGAAAGTCACGTTTCAAAAGATCTGGCCCAGGAGCCCTGTAACTTCTGTAGAGTTTGGGCATTTTTTTCCAGTGCTTATTCATTTTGAACTAGCTGATTATTTTGATAGAACTGCCTTTTCATATCACACTGAGGTGCTACCAGGGCAATCTTTACAAAATGGGAGCAAATCCATCACCTTTAGTACAATACCTGTCTCACTGCTTTATCCCAGTACCGATACACTGAGAAATCAAAATTCTTCACAGAACAGCACCAGTTTCACCAGCTAAGCTTTAGAAAATACCCAAATTTTGAAAGTGAGTTTAATGTAGTTCTCCATTTTGTGTTAGAATCGGAAAGCTATGGGCATCACAAGGGACAGTTTGATGACATTACAATATAACATATTTTTTGAATTACAATTAATCAAAATAAGGTCAAACAGTGTATTTCTAATTTTTGTTACATACAAAACAGTATGTAAGTTTTCATCCAGAAGTGTAAAAGATAGAGAGATGGAGAAAAATAGTAATAAAGATAAAAGGACAAGAGAATAAGACATATTTATAGAATCAAGGACAAAAAAAGGAAAAATAACAGCTTAATACTTGTTTTCCCCTATAATCAATACAACCCAAATTCAAGAACTTATTTCTTCACTTAGTTTTGCACTAGAGGTTTAAAAAATCAAAACTATTTTTATGTAAAAAAGAATAATAATGCTACAGTACCTTAACACTACCTTATATAGCAAAATAAACATATGCTGTGCTGCTTTTTCAGGGAGGTACATGCCAGACTTTTATCCTTTATTTCAGGAGTTCAGTGTCATATATATAGCATCTATTTGGACTAAATGTGCCTACCACTGTTGCTCACCATACTGTCCACAAAGGGCTGTCTCCACATTTAATGGACAGCTATCCAAAAAGATCTAATAGCTATACTCGGGCATTTATGCCTTAATGCCTTCTCTAATCTGCACACCATTATGAAAGTGCAGGGTGTAATATGCATATTCCTTGTTAATCCAGTATTGTCACTGTTCTGAATGCAGGATATGCAGCACCTTCTCAGAGACGTGCTTCCTGCTACCAAGGCACAGAGGAGTGCTGATCTCCACTTGGACTGACTAAACACACAGGTGTGATTCTACATACAGTCCGCTAAATCAGTATGTCAATATGAAGACATCTCAAATGTTTGTGGCAGCACAAAGATTTGGTGAAGGGCAGGAAAACTTTGAACTTTCAAGCCAGAAGACAGAATATCCCATTCAGAAACTATTTTTACCTCTCTGCTATCTGGAGTCCACTGATGTCCTAAACACTCTGGCTCTTGAGGCTCATGGTTCCACTCTCTCTTCACTCACCACTTTACCTTTGGAAAATCTGGAGGAACCCCTGGAGGAGGTTTCCTCTTCCCTACCTACTTTAGGATTACTTGTCAGCATGCTTCCTGTCATGATTTTGTTCTGTGCCACAAACACTCTCCCAGAGAATGCCCAGGCTTGGTGTAAGGGATAGCAGAAGCAAGGGAGACACCTAATAGGCATTATGAACACACTATTTCAGGAGGGAGGATAGTTTAGCTGAATAAACATGAGAGGTGCCCTGCTCATTCCTTTTAAGGCCAGAAAATGGCTTCACCTATGCCCATTTATTTACAAGTATAGACACAGTCACAAGGTCTGACATTTTGCCTGCTGTTTGGTGCCTTTTAAGACAACCTCGCTGTATAAAACAGTTACCCTTGATTATAAAGTTTCAATAAATCACACATTAAATGCAAGTAAGTATCAGAAAAGGATCAAATGTAGCGGTAGAGTAGAAAGGGAATTATCTTGCGTTTATGAGAAGAGGAGGCAAATTCTGGAATGACTAGTAGGCCAAGTAGGATCTGGAAAAACAGACTGAGACGAACTGTTAAAGATATAGACATGGAAAAAAGTGACCTGGAGTCAATAATCACCTTGATTTGATCACTAATCTCAGATTGGAGAGGGGCTTTAGTGAGAATCTCCCACAGTAAGAGAACAGAGTGAACGATCACAGTACAACTTGGAGCTACTTGGCATCTACAGAAGTCCAGTGTTAAATCAACCACTGAGGCAAACTGTGGTTTCTATGTTTCAGCTTTGTTGCATATAACACAGACCAGAAGAAAATTCATTTATATATTTAATTAGAGTTCCATTACAGATTCCTTCAAGGAGCAGCACTGAGCTCAATCAACGTTCTCCTGACTTTGAAAGGTGACTTCTGCTCCTATTATTGGCATTTCCTAAAGCAGTTTCTCCTGGAGAAGGTACTGTCTCAGACACCTCACAACATTAATAAAAGAGCAAGTGCTTAAGAAGGTTGTAGAATAAGGAAATAACCACCCTAATCCTCACAAAGAATCCAACTTAAAATACCTCTGTAATTGATGATTTCTGTTCCAAGCACTGGGGTCATCTCCAGAACTGTGATGAAGGCCTTGTCCATAGATGTCAATGGGAATGGAGACATGCGGTGTCTTCTTGCTACCTTGGTAATGTCAACAGCACTGTGACCTGCAACAAGAGAGCACCAAGTTTATGTATGCTACAATGTGTAGATGTACGCAGTGATGTTCATTTAAACCACTTTACTGAAATTAATCTGGCACTTTGGGGTAAACTAAATTACTTAGTTATGACTATAGAGCATTTATGTCAGACACTGGGAAGGCATTGTATTCAACTACAATCAAAAGAGAGATTTAAAAGAAAATGCAATTTACAATTGAAAACGTTCACAAAAGTATATATCCTTACTTGTCATGAAGAACATACCAGAAGTCTTGATGAGCATGAAAGGATCAGTTAATCAGAAACAGAAACCTTCAAGATGATGCAGTATTTTACACCGAGGATGATAATCTGAGGTTAACTCAGTTCTATGAACTATGAACTCAGGACAATTCACTCCTCATTCTGTTCTCCACAAACACATCTCAATATGCTATGTGCAGTGCACAGATAAAACATAAAAATGGACACTGTCCCAGTGAGTTTGCAATCCAAGAGCGAGATGGGAGTCAAAAGGTTTGAAAGGAGGATAGAGGGAAGCACAACGAAATCACTGGACAGTCAGGACAGCAGACAGTGTTTCCAGCTAGTGGGCATCTGACCCATTGTCAAGATTTTGTAGTCACCATAGCAAAGTGACGTTTAAATGCGTAATTTGAGTGAAGGTAGTAGGATAGATTAAAGGAAGCTTACTTTTCCCAAGTATGAGGGACAGGTTGGGAGAAAATACGATAAAAGTTATTTGAAAATGAAGCCAGCAGCACGTTTGATTTCTTGATACTTACTGAGAGAGTAAACAAGGGGACAACAAGCTTTGAAGGATTTTGAGAATGAAGATAAGCAACTGAAGAGAAGGAACTATTGCAGGAATACATAAACAAGAGTAACAGATACAAACCAAAAGGTTAAGAAAATGACGTTTGTAGAAATATCTGGAATGGATTTGCCTAGAACAAGAAGGTATTTATGAGATCCAAAGTGGATGATGTTCTATATGTAATACGTAATGATATTCCTAAAGCAACATATTATAATAAGATAGCATTAACAAAAAATAGAAACTAATTTTTAAAGACGTGATTTTGCTTTGCAGTAGCTACCTAACTATCCCATTTGCTGCTGCACATGCCTTCACATTCTGGAAAAAAATTAGATTATTGCTTTAAGTGCAGTCTTCCACTAAAAAATAACTACAAAAATAGTAAAACAATCATGCAATCTAAGTTTTTCCTTTCAGAAGAGAAGGTCACTTAATCAATCTGTATATATAAAACTTATTTCAGCACTGACACATGCTTTCTCTCTATGTGGGAGATTGTTCATTAGTTTATTTTTTTGCCATTAACACAGTAACTATCTTTAACAGGAAGAAGTAGAGACAAATAAAACTGCCCACCTAATTCCAGTCCCAAGAAAGATTCTGGAAGAAATTATCTGAATAATCTCTTTGTATGTATTTAGAAGATAACATCATGATAAAAGCAGGCACTGCGAATTTGTCAAGAACAAGTAATTTCTAACTGACTTAATTCCTTTCTTTAACATAGCAGTTGGCATACTGAGGAAGAGAGAAACAGCTGATGAGATACATTTTAACTATATTAAGACTTTTCACACTCTTAAACATGACTTTCTCATAAGCAAACTAGGCAGAAATGATCCAAATTAAACTATTGTAAGATAAAAGTGTAACTAGTGGAAAAACTGCATTCCTGGATTTAACAACAGGGATGTCCCTAGCAAGCTTAGATTTTCCATTAGTATGTCTGTATTTTGTTAGCAACCTCATAAAAACGAGGAAAAGGAAAGGAAAGCATTTGTGAGACAAAGTCAAACTTGCCATACCACTCTCTGCATAGAGAAAGAAATGCAGCTTAGCAGCACTGTAATTCCTGCAGGTCCAGCAGATTCCACACAATGTATGTTAAAAACTTTTTCCTGACTGTATAAATTAAGAAATTATTTTCTTAAAAGAAATAGTTAGAACAAATGAAGGAAGATGTTAGGAAAAAATATGTCACAGCAGTGAAAGCTAGGGGAATTGTGTGGCAGCAAACAACCTTTATGCTACAGCCATTAGGTGCTTTAATGTTTATGTTTTACTGCTACCTATAACTCACTGTTAGCTACTTCAGAAATTAACATTGCACCTCTTTAACCCTTAAATCATGAATGAATTCAGAGGCTTTGAATGCTTTGAATGGTGCCCAGAGTACTACCTTCAGCTTTGGAACTCTGTGTCTAATACACATCATTTGCTTAAGTCAAAGATTCTGTTAAAATCTCCTGAGAAATGCGTTCTTCAACACAGTTTTTTTTGAAAATAGATAAAATCTCCTAATCTCTGACAACTTTGCTCCAACACCAAAAGTAACACCCACTATTTCTGCAAGAGAAGCCAAGAAAATACATACTCAAAAATAGAGCCCCTTCAGCTTTAACACTAGCATGAATAACCTTAATGAAGAAAGGAAGATGCATGTGTAACTACTAACCCTTCTCTCTCCCTGTTTCTTCCTACAAACAAATGCTAATTCTTCTTTTAGAGGTATCATACGTTTAAACAGACCCAGAGACAAAGAAAGAATGATTTTTTAAATCCTAAAATTACTAAGTGGTACTTGTTAATTACAAGTATATGACATTAAACAACTCCTCAGACTTTCCCAAGTTACCTTTCACTACTGTCAAATGGCTCTGAAAATAACTACTTACATTAAGCAGCATTTTGTATGACAAAATAATCCTCTAGCTTTGAAGCAGCTAAGTCAATTGGTTGCATAAGGTAGAAAATTCCTGACAGCCTTCTCTCTTATCACCAAAACAACTTCCTATTCCTGTTGTTATACATATATATATATACACACACAATTTTAGACTAGGAAAGAGTCCCATAAAACAAAGGAAAGGAATTGTGCGAATTAAAGAACAAGTCATTTGGATCAAATCTGAATTCTTAACCTTTGCATTGTTTGGTTTGGTTTTATGTAACCCAACATTCAATGTCATGTTCAGGTATGAAAATAAAAATCATATATATTCAACTTGAGAATTTCCATTTTCATTGTCTTTCAGTGTTGATTCTTTTTGCCCATAAAACTTGCACACACATGATAATTTACAACAATACATCACCACAAACAACACAGACCTCCATGTCATTAGAAGAACAACTTGGAAGAAAAAATTAAAAGGCAACTATCCATTAATACATGAACACTACGAGCTATTTACATTTTTATTTTCTCTTTGGACCGAATTTCATTGTCTTAAGTTATTAAACAACTTCTGCAAACCCACTTATGTCCCAACTATATCCTTCTCTTCTCATCTGACTATCATTTGCTGTCTTCTGAGCAGTCTTAGTTTCTCAATAGAGCTATGAGGTTTCAGTACTTACTTGCTCTGAGGATGTTCTCCTTGCTGCTGCACCTAGACTGGACCTGCAGAGAGAGCACAGAGTCTATGAGCTACAGAAGTTAAGAAGAATGCAAAATACAGAGATATAATGGGCAAGCTCCTGGGATCTAAGACAGAGGCTATACATATTTTCAGCAACATTCTTACATACTCTACATGAGATAAGTATATTTAAGCAGAAGGGTAGTAGCTGATGGTCAGAATCTGATACAAGCAATTTTACATGCCCCCCGCAAGAAACAAGACAGCCTAAGGACAGTAATAGAGTAAAATCAAAGAACACAATGGTTAAAATTACGTGTTAAGCTCCAGTTTTAAACAGAAAATCCACATTTTTTTAATATAATTGGAATTACAGTAACTCTGAATCTAGGTCCTGTTTTATGATTAGACAAAATACTAACATATCATGACCTGCTTTAAAATTCTATTATTGATATTTTCAGGTATTATAGAAAGAGTTTAAAATACTCAATTTAGATTGTGTTGATTCTGAAGATATTTAATAAGACTTCTTCACAATTGTATAAGCAACTCACAATTGTATAAACAGCTCCTGGCTGGAGCCAGATAAATTTACTCAGTTGTTTCTGTTTGGTTAAAAGAAATGCTATGTTCAGTATGAACTTTCAGTGCAATTCTACCTTAAAAAGTGAGAATGACAACTGGTTTCTCAACAAATCCTCTTCCTAGATGCTTAGCTGCCACTGTGCTATTCCAGATACATTTGTCTGACTCCAGGGAAACTGGAGGATTCACATTGGTCTAATATTCTAGTAACACTGGATATTTAGAGTTCCATCTGTTTACCATGCAGATTTAAAAAAGAATTGTTTTTTGAAGAGTATCAGTCCTGTAAACACAACACAGTTTAAACTTTATCTATACTGAAGCATCAGCTCTTGTTAATTCTTCTCAGGTTTGGAAAGATAGCACATTGTATAACAACACTGAAGTTGCAAGTTTTTAGATGAACTAATTTGAACAGCAGTCTATTTTCTGGCAGGTCAGCTGACTGAACTGGTAACACTTGAATAAAAAGCTTTTTGCGTGGACAAAACCCCAGCTAAAGTAAACTTCACAGGAAGACAAACCTCAGAGAGAGTATGAATGGAATCCTTCTCTTTTTTTACTTTATTGACAAATGTATTGCTAAATTTCAGCGAGAGTACTAATAAAGTAAAACCGTGTACACGTGGTGAAAGAAGTGGAATAGCACAGGTGACGCTGAAGGGTTTAATTTCATTGCAGAACATTTGTCTCTGCTGAAAAAGCAAAGGAGTGAATCCAGATTATCTTTCAGACTACAGTTTCAATTTGCAGTTACAGAAAAATTGCCTAGAAAATGAATATGTATGATCTAACAATTGATGAAGAATGGTACATGCTCAACCCCCAAAAAGCTGTCTTCAGAAAGGAACAACCATTTAAGGCTGAAACCAAATGTGCCCCAGCTTCTAAACCTCTTTCTTCTGTTCCACAGCAGCTTGCCCCAAATGTATATTCACATACAAAAATTGGATTCTACAGCGCAACACAGTCTACTTATTGTAATGGAATAACTTATGGAAAGTAATGTTGCAACTTAGAGTGGGTTATGGTGTCCTTCCCTGAAAAAAACTGTTGTTTAAAAAAAACAAACCGAAAAAACCCAAACCCTCCCTCCTTCCCACCAAAAATACTATACAAGAAAACTGCAAACAAAATATTAATGATGTCCAAATTTGGCCCAGAGTTGTTTTACCAGATTTCAAAGGCATGACATAAACTCTCTTTGGAAGAAGTAAATATTTACCTATAATTTACGAAAGGACAATTCTGGACCAAAAAGATGGTATAATGGTAGGAAAGAAAGCACAAAAGAGAGAGAGGCACAGACTGAGAGAGAGAGAGAAGCAGGATGGACGTGGCAAGGCAGAAGATGGTGTGTGCAAAAGGAGACATGGGCCTATGTGTGTAAGACTACTGTTTAAAATGGAAGAGGCTCTCTTATTTCTCACTGAAAACCATATGAAAAGAGAAAACGAGGAATGGACCTGCTGCAAAATAACCAAGCGATTCAGCAAACTGTGGAATGAAACTCAGTGAGGTAACATAGTCCTAAAGAAAAAGGCAAAAAACCAAAAATACAAAACACAAACATTTGAAACAATCTATTAAAACAAACTAAGTAAAATATGTGATCCAAAGGACACAGATAAAAGCTACTAGAGAAGGAGGAAAAATGTTAGCGGACAAAGACAGTGCTAGAGAAGTAAAATGGAAGTCAAGAGAGAGTCTTCAACAAAGTGGAGGAACAGAAGGAGCCCAAACCCATAGCGCAAAGCAATGTTTGCGAATGGAAAACAGCTCCTTTGAGCAGTAATAGTTACTCTCGAGTTGTAGCCTCTATTCCTCCTCAGTTCATCTTTAAGCCCTTCCAACCTATAGTGGAGCTAGTGTATGGACAAAAACAAGAGATTTATAATGAACAGAGCAGCTGAGATTTGCAGATCAAATCTTCTAATATAAAAAAACGTGCTGACAAAGTTTTGCTCTTACAGTGTCCAAATGACAATGGTAACAAAAGACAGCTGGCTTCACACGCAGCCTCTTACAGGTCATTTTTTTAATTCTGTGCACACAGAGGACTTTAAATTTACTTTTTGATTTCTTACACCCAGCCTACAGCTTTCATGTTATCACTCACCTGATGGGCAACATATGCAGTATGAGAAATAATTTGCTTCCCACAAATTTTAAAAGCAGCTGTGGAAGAGGAATCCATGATAATAAAATAAAAGTCTTGATCAGCTAGACTTGATCATTTCCCAACCTATGCTCACAGCTGCAGAATACAAACCACGTTTTAACATAACTGACATCAAAATTAGTTAGTACATAATACTTCTGTTTGTTTAATATGAATTGCACATTGATACCCTAAATGTGATTTTTAAACAAAACTGCAGTAAAATATGATTTTGAATAAAACCCACCAGTTTTCTAACACATACAGTTTTAGCAGCAACGGAACTTTGTATAAATGGGGTCATGTGCTTTAAGTGCCTTTTATCATATTCATTATTTGTATGTTTTACTACTTTGTTATTTGTAACATTTATGAAAAATCTGTATTCTTTTCACAGCTACTGCTAAGTAAAGAATCCGTATTACATTGCTTATAGTACCACGACTGACTGGGGCGAGTGATTAGTAGTATTATTTACTATAATTCTTCTCATTCACAGGTAGTTACAGAAATAACAACCTATGGCTGTTTCTCCTTTCACAGGGAAAGTATAGATTTATTGTTTGTCCATTCTACAGCCTCTTGGCTCACAGTGTACCTTGGCAGAAGATACAGTGGGCTACCAGCCAGTACCATTCCCCTGCGTAGTTCAGGCAGAATGTAACCAAACCCAAAGCATTCAATTCACATTACTCTGTTTTTTAAGCAAACTGGATTTTATGTTCTTTAAGATATAATTTCATCATGCTGGAATGCTGAGTAAGCTTTCTCCCATTGGCTGAAGTAGTAAATAGAATGTGAAATGAAGTACTCAAAAATAAATTACGGGAATGGTAAAATAAAGAGTCCTGCTGACAATTTCTGTCTATCAATCATGATTGGTCGGAAAAATGAAATCAATGTCTGTACTAAATTGGATTTATTGAAATCTACATTATATGTTTTGCTGCAAATAAAAATCGGTCCACAAAAAATTTTTTTACAAGAAAAATAGAAAAAGACACAAAGTAGAGTTCATGCTACAAGTGAAAAATTCATGTGAAAAATAAAGAAAAAAAAGAAAATTGAAAAACCCTTTAACACTTTACCACGACTGTTAGGAATGGTTAGAGAAATTACTTACCTTTTTAAAGTCATAACAAGATTAGCACAGAGTATTAAGTCAGCTCTTCATTATGGGAGGTACAATTAAAAGCCATTGGTTATAATAAAACAAATTGCTACACAAAGATGAAGAGTTTCCAGCCCAATATGAAAAGCTAACTCTTATGGGAGTACGTTTCAACTCAATTTTACAACATGAAGAACAATTCAGAACAACGACATCAAAACATGAGTTATCACCAACAGAAAGAGCCCGTTTCTCAGGAACACAGAGCCTGTAGGAGGCTAACCCATAATCTTTGTCAGTTATGGGAAAGCACATTGCTCCGCTTTCAGGAAAGCATGCAGAACGTGGAACCACCAGCAGAAACCCAAACATACACACAGACACAGAGGACTAAGGTACAGCAAAGGGAATGAGTTCGCCAAGCTGTAATGAAGGAAGCAGGGTATGCAAAGCACAGCAGCCATTAGCAATCCGAGAACTCTATTCCTCTAACTGTCTCATAAACACCAGGCAGGCCGGTTTATGAGGTATTGCACCTACTACAACTTACTGTCGGTGAGACAGTGTGTAACTCATATAACCTCTCCTTCAAACTTCAGCAGTTTTATGAAGACAATTTATTCTGTGTGATGTGGGAAAGTATACTGCTGCTGCTTTTATCTACCTGTGATTTACTAGTAATTACATGATCTGAGTTCTGTACAATATACTCTGTGTATTTGTACATTTGAATGGTCTCTCAAATACTTGCCTGCTTTAAATAGATTTCAAATCACACGTGATCTGATTTATAACTGTACAGGTTCGCATGGTGTCTCCTGCCTAAAATACCTTTCCCCCCAAGAGTGCAACATACATTAATCAGTATCTGTAAATAAATATATAAAATAAAACTACACCATGAGTAACAATGTCTCAAACTGGTGTAATAATATGGTAAAAATTGATTTTGGCCTGTTATTCTAAGCAATATACATGAGGTTAAACTAGGAGCAAACTGAAAAATGTAATGAAATACATTGGTTCATTTCATTAAAAAAAAGTTTTAAATCTAATCTGAAGAACTGAGACAATTACTTTGATTGAATTAATATGAAATATAAAATGAGGTTGTTAAAAAAATTCACAGGAAAAGCATATCTGGAATTGCGTACTTCAGAAAACGTTTAACAAAATATTTG